TTTTACTCTTTAACAGCATAATTTTGGTGCACTGATCTAAATATATAGTTTGTTTGTATTCATCATATATAAGCTTATTTCTCAAATTAAGCTCTTTGTCAATTTTTAATATGTCACTTTCAACAATTTCTTTTAAGTGTTCAATAGCTGATGAGAAATAATAGTTAATTTTAATTTGTTTGTTAAATGAGTCATTCGTTTGTAAAAAATATGTTTGTATATTATATTTTGTCTGTCGTCTTCGTCCATTGTACCAAAAAGCCATGTTGACATACTGGCAATTGCATTAATCAGTCCTCTTTTATTTCTTGCTCTAACTGTCATAAGTGTCAATAGTTTATTTTTTATATCTAACAACTATCTTTGCAGTATTTCTTTATTCTCTAATTTCATCAAAATTATATTTTCGGTTATTGCATTCATAATATTTTCTAATTGTTGAATGTCAATTATATGTAGTACTATATCKCTATTTTTTGATATTGCTTGATCTCTAATCTGCAAATCTATGAATCCATTTTGTTCCTTTATTCCAGTCAAAACCATTGTCCCGTCACAATATTGTGTCATTAAAGCTACTACTGTCCATATTATCCAAATTTCTACATTTTAAAGGTATTTTTATATTGGAAGGATGAACATTTTTTAACTTTTCTTTCTTGTATCTAGGTTGTTCCTTATGCCTAACGGCTTTATAATTTTTTATAAATCCTTCTTCACTCTTTTCCTCATAATTTTCTTCTTTTTGATTTAATTTATTTATAATTTTATTATTTACTGCTAGTAATTGTTATTTATTATTTCCAAGTCTACTTCATTATGCTGTACCTTATTTGGTGTACAGTTTATTGTTGAGTGACATCTTTCATTATAATTTCCAATTGCTTTTTGTATTAATGGTTTTATTGATAACCCTTTAGTTTATATAAGATTCTAAATTTTTCTGCTATAGTATTATGGAATCTTTCTACATCTGAATTACCTGTATGACTATTGGGTTTTGTTAGGTGGATTTCAACATTTTCATTATCTAGGAATTCTTTCATTCTCACTACTTTAAATTCATTGTCTGCAATTATTTTTCTAGGTTTCCCTACTTTAGTGAAGTGATCTTCTAGCTGCTCAATAGTTATGTGGTTTCTATCATTTAATGAGTATGCTGCACAGAACTTAGAAAATTTATCTACTACTATCAAAAAATGATGCCCTTTCATGACATACATACGTATCTATATGTACAATATCATTAATTCTTGAAGGCGTCTAAGAATGTTTCAGTTACGGTTTAAAAGGATTTCTATCGTACTTTACTTATTGACATATTTCACATTAATTAATTAGAATTTTAATTAATTGCAATAACTTTGTAAAAAAATATTTTATTCTTTATTTGGTTATATGTTTCTCGAATGCCTGAATGAAAGCTTTCTCTAACGTGATATAAAGAAATCTGTTTGACTGCTTCTACTTCTGTCTCAATATCTTGTGCTCTCATTGTACATTTTATAAATTCGAATTGATCATCATAAGAAAAAATTCGATTAATTTTTCCTGTACTACATTATATTGACGTTCTRAARTTTCTGAAAATATTCCTATTTTACGTTTTGTAATATATTTCATAAATATCTCACTCAAATTATCGAAATCATATTCCGAAATGAAAATAATTCTTTTACCGTATATAATTTTTAACTCTTCAGTTTTGTTGCTTGTTAAAATAATTTGCGTCTTATATTTGTTAACAATTTCCTCTTTGATATAAAAATGGTCGTCTAATTCTTCAGCACTGTTGCTAAAGTTTCTTCATCATTGTTTATAGAAAAATTTGAACTATCATCATCCACATTTTCTGAAATAATATCCTCATTTTCTTTTATCCTATTTAAAAAGTCTGCTACTTTATTATCTTTTCYTTTTAAATATTCAATGTCAAATTGGTATTCTCTAAGTTTTAATAACCATTTTGATGTCGAGCTGATATATATTTTCCTTTGTATTTAGAATGTAAACAATTTTATCGGTTGGTGGTCAGTAAAAATTTTGAATTTATTTCCATAGAGGTATGCCCTAAAATAGTTTATATCACATTATCGCAAGAAATTCTGTATCTGTTGCGGAATAGTTTCTTTCGTGGTTATTCAAAGTTCTTGAGGCGTAACACACTGGGTGTCCCTCTTGTGATAATACTGCACCAATCGCATAACTGGATACATCTGTTGTTAAAGTAAAATGTTTTTCGAAATCTGGATAACGTAATATGATGAATACTTATTAGCAGTTTAAATTTTTCAAATGCTTCAATATATGTTGGGTCTTTACGATTAATTTTAACTCCTTTTTTCAAATACTTAGTTATAGGTTGGGCTATTCTAGCATAGTCTTTTACGAATTTACGATAGTAACCGGTGATTCCTAAAAATCTTTTAATTTGTATTTCTGTTTTTGGGATCTGTAAATTTTCTATAACTTTAATTTTATTAAGATTTGGCTTCATGCCTTCCTCCGTTAAAATGTGTCCTAAGAACTCTATTTCTTTCTTCAAAAAATTGTATTTATCTATTTGAATTTTAAGAKTTTTACTTTCAAGAATTTTAAAAATTTCGCCTATCACCCTAATATAATTTTAATAGTGTGCTAAATATTAGAATGTCGTCTAAATACATTACAAATGTTTTATTTATATAGTATCTAAGTATTTCAGTAAAATTTTGTGTTCTCTCTAATTTTTCTAGAATAGAATCAATATGTGGAAAGGGGTCTTTGCCATCTATTGTAACTTCATTCAATTTTCTATAGTCTATTACAATTCTATATTTCTTTTCACCTGAATTTTTTTCGGCACTACTATTAATGAACGAATATCTTGAGTGAGTTTTTTGGATTATTCCCTGCTCTTCCATTTCCTTAATTTGTTTTCTAACTTCAATTTCATGCTGGGGTGGATACCTATACAATTTTGAATTAGTCTGCTGCTGCGTTGTAGTTTTAATTTTCCGTTGTGTTAGTCAATTTATCGCCGTCTTTAAATAATAATTTATTATATCTTTTGAGCAATTTAATTACTTCTCTATTTTCTTCCTCATTTAAATGCTCTAGGTTTAATCTCTCCAATTTTAGCTCCGCAGTTTCAAGATTAAAAATTTGATTTAAGTCATTTAGTTTATTTAAAATCAAACTTTCTTTTCGGTTTAGAGYTATTTTTCCTTTTTCTATATCTATATACGAATTGAGAAAAGTAAGTATGTCCATGCCTATTATAAAGTCATATTTTCGTCCTCTTAATGGTGTAACTTTCTATCTTGTTCTCGCGTTACTATGTAAGTTAAATTCCTCTGTTGCTAATGTATGCATTTAATAATAATTTATTTTACCCTCATTTGTAATTGTGTAAATGTTAAGGATTTTTCAATTTAATTCTTGGAAAATCGTCAATCAGGCTATTGATCAGGTTTAAAATAGCTCCTGTATCAATTAGTGCAATATAATTCTTTTTATTAATTTTAATTTTAATTTTTGGTAATGATTCCGAGGCTGGTTCATAAAAAAATACTATTATTAACTTCTTCTTCTCTTGCTATATCAGTTCTTGAGGACCTACCGGATCTTGCCTACTCGAGTATAAGCGAACTTGGCTATACGGGGAATTATTGTGTCCTGCCAATTGAGGGCTCATTGAACTATATTGGATATTATCTATTTCCATCGGTTCGCCTTGGTTTTGTTTAAATTGATTATTTTGACCGTAGTTCTGTCTATATTGGTTCTAGTGATTTTGACCAAAGTTTGGTTTATATTGATTTGATTGATTTCATTAAAATTTGGTCTAGGGTTTCCTACCGCTTGTGGTCTTTGAAAATTACCTGAATTTGGTTTGTAATTATTATTAAATCCTCCACTCTTATATTGTTTAAATTTTCCTGATGTATTATGTCTAATCTCATTTTCATATATTTTATTATATGTACCTTGATTATCTCTATTTCTATAATTTGTATTCTTTCTTTGTCCTCGATCAGGATACCTATTACTATATTTTTCCATTGAGCCATCTTCCTTTATTTTTTAACATGAAGATCTTACAGTGTAACATGCACAGAAGTAAAACGGCTGACCACCTCCAGCCGCAGCTCATGCTGGAACTCGGAACCGAGGTAGCAATCATTAGCGAGCAGTACAAAATAGCGCAAGATGGAACATGGCTGGAAGACACCACAGCAACAGCGGCAAAATGGCTAACGGAAAGGAGTAGCTTCAAAAAAACAAACAGCGGGAGAGGAAATGGGCTTGTCTGGATAAAAAACGAAAGCATTACGATAATTAGTTGCTACCTGACATCGAGCGACCGTATCACAGACTTCCAAGCAAAGCTCGATGCTATAGAGGATGCTGCTCGGCAAAGAGACCGTCACTTAATCATAGCCTGAGACTTCAACGCCAAAGGGCATGGAATGGGGCACACCGACTACAAACTCAAGGGGCCGGAAAATTSTCGACATGGCGGCTAGATTAGGCCTTATCGTCGCCAATAGAGGATCCCAAACCACTTTCAGAAGGCCAGGATGCAACGACACAACGGCTGATATCACGCTGGTGTCCGAAGGATTCGCAAACCAGCTGCGCGAGTGGAAAGTTTTGGAAGACTATACTGGTAGCGACCACCAATACATATCCTACCTCATAGGTCCAGATAAAAATCCAGCAACGACGAAAGGAAGAGGAACACGTAAATGGAATGTTTCCAAGCTGGACTCAGAAAAGTTCCTTGCGGCCATAGATAAAAACCCACCAAAATACCACGCAAGTAGCACAGCTAGGTTGATTGTCCAAGAACTCTGAGCACCATCACTGAGGCATGTAAAGTAGCAATGCCCAAAATAAAAGGCAGACATCCAAAGAAAGCAGTTTACTGGTGGACTGACGAAATCCGAAATCTTCGACAAGCTTGCCTGCAAAAGAGACGACGATATACAAGAGCTAGAAGAGGAGGAAGAAACGGAATGGAAGAGTATAAGGAATATAAAGCTGCGAAAACTGAGCTGAAAGACGCAATAACAAAGACAAAGAAAGATAAATGGGAAGAGCTACGTAACGATATAAACCAAAATCCGTGGGGTCTCGGATATAAGATTGTAATGAAAAAACTCGAAGCAAAACAGTCCACCCCTGAGTTAAATGCCGCAGCTATGGAGCACATCGTAAGCACTCTGTTCCCAACCCATGACCTGCGAAGAGACGCACCAGAACATGCACAAGAGAGCTCATATCTGCCTTTCACTATGGAGGAAATGTACACGGCAGCAAATACTTTAAAGACCAAAAAAGCCCCTGATCCTGATGGGATACCAGTGGAAGTGTTAAAGCTAATCGCTTTGGAACACCCGCACTTACTGCTATCCATGTACAGTGCATGCTTGAACGAGGGCATTTTCCCAGAAATATGGAAGAGGCAGCATCTGACCCTAATAAGCAAAGGCAAAGGAGACCCAGGAACATCATCAGCATACCGACCTCTATGCATGCTAGATACAGCAGGAAAGCTACTAGAAATACTGTTGAAACCCCGAATCATAGCAGCCATAAACGATGCTGGAGGCCTATCRGAGCGACAACATGGCTTCAGACCAGGCAGGTGCACTATCGGAGCTGTGGAAGACGTCGTGCGCAGCGTGGAGGAAGCGCATCGAAAGAACAACTTCTCCAGGCCAATAGTTCTCCTCGCAACACTTGACATACGAAATGCATTCAATAGCGCAAAGTGGGCAAATATGATCGACGCACTAGAAAGTCGCTTCAAAACGCCCCTCTACTTGATGAAAATGATACGAAGCTATCTTAAAGACAGGAAATTACTGTATGATACGAGTGACGGCCCAAAAAGTAAAGAAATAACCTCTGGAGCAGCGCAGGGATCAATACTTGGATCAGATCTATGGAATGCCAGCTACGACGGAATTTTAAACGTTGAAATGCCTGACGATTGCTACCTCGTTGGCTATGCAGACGACATTGCCGCCGTCATAACCGCGCGTAATACCGAAATGGCAACGCAGACATGGTTGAACTCACACGGACTCAGCCTAGCTGCTGAAAAAACAGAAGTGATCCTGCTCACTAGGAAACATATCCCGCTGGAGGTAGACATGCAAGTTCATTCAGAGACTATCCAAACGACGAAAACCCTAAAATACCTAGGAATAAGAATGGATAACAAATTGACGTACTGGGCTCAAATCCAACATGCTGCAAAGAAGTCAGCCAATATAACC